TTGGAAGAGTTTGAGGAGGACTGGTGTTAATTCTTTTTTAAAAATGTTTGGTGGAATCCACCAGTAAAACCATTTGGTCCTAGGCTTTTTTTGTTATTTTTTGGATTTTTGTGATTACTGATTCAGTTTCCTTAATGGCTATAGGTATGTTCAGATATTCTGTTTCATCAAGATTCAGTCTCAGTATATTGTGTATTTCTAGGAATTCATTCATTTCTATAGGTTATCCAGTTTTTTGTTCATAGTACTTTCATAATCCTTTTTATTTCATACAATTGATAGTAATATCTCTTTCATTTCTGATTTTAGTTATTTGACTTTCCTCTCTCTGTCTCTCTTTTTATCTTAGTCAACCTAGTTAAAGTCTTGCCAATTTTATTGATCTTTTTTAAAAACTAGTGCTTGGTGGCCAGACACAGTGGCTCACCCCTGTAATTCCAGCGTTTTGGGAGGCTGAGGTAGGTGGATCACCTGAGGTCAGGAGTTTGAGACTGACCTGACCAACATGGCAAAACCCCATCTCTACTAAAAATACAAAAATTAGCTGAGCATGGTGGCAGGTGCCTGTAATCCCAGCTACTCAGGAGTCTGGGGCAGGAGAACCACTTGAACCCAGGAAGTGGAGGTTGTGGTGAGCTAAGGTTGTGCCACTACACTCCAGCCTGGGTGACACAGCAAGACTCTGTCTCAAAAAAAGAAAAAAGAAAACTAATACTTGTTTTTGTTGTTGTTGTTGTTTTTTCCCATTATCTTTCATTTATCTTTGCTCTAATCTTTATTATTTTCTACCTTCTGCTAGGTTTGGATTTTTTTTCACCCCTATTTCCTTATAGAGTAAATTTAGGTTGTTAAGTTGGGATATTTATTCTTTTTAAATATAAGTATTTACAGCTTTATGTTCCCTTCTGGCACTGCTTTTACTGTGTTTTACTAATTATGATGGTACAGCCTGTTTTTATTTTCATCTCAAGATATTTTCTAATTTTTCTTGGGATTACTTTTTTGATCCATTTCTTGTTTAGAGTGCTTAATTTTTATACAATTGTGCATGGTGCTTTTTTCCATCTGCTATTTATTTCCAGATTTATTATTTTGTTACTGGAAAAGAACCTTGAATAATTTCAATCTTTTATAATTTTACAATTTTGTTTTCAATTGACACGTATTGTTAATTGTACATATTTATTAGGTACAGGGTGATGTTTCAATGCATGTATACACTGTATAAAAATCAAATTGGTGTTTAGAATATTCATCATCTTATACATTTATCATTTTTTTTGTGGTGAGGACATTCAAAATCTTTCTTCTAGCTATGTTAAAACATGCACCTTCAGGCAGGTTCAAGGCTCCCTAAGGACACTGTGCAGCGTTGCTCAGGTTCACTGAACACTACCAGGGGCGTGTCCAGCTTCTGTCGGGGAGAGCCCACCTCCTAAGGGGGGTGTGGCTAAGGGACTAGGCGGTTCTCGTTGGGAGCCCAGGTAATCTGGGTGGGATCAGGAGGAGCTAGCGTCGCGATGTGATGACGTCAGTCCCTGGCCTGGCCTGGTGTGGCGCGCTGGGCGTGCGCGGCTGCGGTTCGGCGTGTAGGTCCTAGCAGTTCAGCTGAGGTAGGGACTTGGTGTAGGCCGGAATGTTACAGGCTGTTGGAGTTGTGGATGAGGAAGAGGATCCTGCGGAGGAGGATTGTCCTGAATTGGTTCCCATTGAGACGAAGCAAAGCGAGGAGGAGGAAAAGTCTGGGCTCGGTGCCAAGATCCCAGTCACAATTATCACCGGGTATTTAGGTAACTAACCATCCTGGTCAAAAAATGCCGTGAACTCTGGTGTCCTGGGATTTTGGGGGCTGCCGGTGCCTCTTCTCCTGAGGCACTGGGGCCTCGTGACCAAGAGCAAATGTCTTTGAGGTAGGGGCTGGGTCACTTGCTCCTCGTTTGGGTTTAAGTCTCATCTCGGGAGATTCCTTTCAAACAAGACTTTGAACCTCAGACACGCCCCCTATTTATCTCTGTGCGGTCTTACCAAGATATGTTACCATTCTGACGCTCATCTGCTTCATTGAAAATGGAAAAACCTGTCACCTGTGAAACGGGGCTGGAACCATTGAAGGTTTGCCATTAAAGGACGTCCCGTTTGTAAAATCCCCAACACGAATGGGGCATTCCTCAGTAGATTCCCCTTCCCCACGAGCCAAAGTCCTCAAGCCAGTTAGCGGGAAGTGCTCCTATCTCAAACACTTTTTGAGGTCTGTTTGCAAACCACTGCCTAGGAAAGTAAGAATAAAATCTCTGTTCTCCAGGACTATTTCTCAAACTACAAAAGTTTAGGAGTGTACCGGGATACTCGAAACCACAAGTTTGTGCACTTGATAGTTTCGTGAAGGGCGGTTTATGCACTTACACTAGAAGCTTGTTACTGGAAAATTTGAGAAACGTATTTTTAAACCTTACAGTTAAATAGAAGGGCTAGAACAAATATATGATTATATTATAAGTGTGGAAAAAGTTAGAAATGTAAATAAAGTGATACTGTTTCAGGGAAATATTTCTAGGTGCTGCTAGGAGGAACTTTTATGTAAAAATAAGAAATCACTGGTGTTTTCTTTCTTTTTATTTTGTAGACTGTAAGTTTATTCCCGGTTTTGCTCAGAAGTAATTTTATAAAGGAATCGATTTTTGGCATTTCCCCACTTATTCAGAGGCTGTTCTTCTGAGAAGATTAACAAATTTCTTGTCTAAAACAATGTATTTCAAAGCTGCCCTTTGGGCCTTTTCCGTGTTGCTCACTGGTAGGTCAGTAGATCATTGGAGAAAATGATCTGAAGCTCAGGAGTGAGGACGGATGCCAGCAACCTTGTTGCCGAATCTAGGCATAGTTTCACTCCTTATCGCTGATCATTTTCCCTTTTTGAAACACTGTTCTGTTGGCTTATATTACATTTTTCTTCTGATTTTTCCACCTGCTTCTCTGGCTTCATTTTAAGGCTCCCCCCCCCCCCCACCCTCTTTGTCCATGTTTAGCTACACACCTGTGTAATTTCTGTTTTGATATTCTACAACTTAACATGTCCGAAACTTCTCCGTTACCGTTCCCCCAAATCCTGTTCCTGTGATCCCAACCACTTGGAATACTCTAAAAGCCGCCTAACTAATCTGGAGTCTTGCTGTTCTTTATTTGTTGCGTGTTAGCCTAAATGATCTTTATAAATGCCAATCCAATTGTGTCACACCCTTCAGTGGCATCCATATGGGTTAAAGTTCAAATTCGTTAACATGAATTACAAGGACCTGTGGGATCTGGATCTTGCCAGGCTTTCCAGCTGGCCAAAATGGCCCTGTGCAATGAACTAAGGTTACTTCAAAGGTGCCAAGTATTTTAGCCCTTTTTAATATGTACTTTTTTTTTTTTACTGTTACTCCTCTGGCTAGATGTCCCTCTTAGGTTCTCCATAGCATTTTGTACAACTATTGAATGTGCCATCCTGTGACATAATTGCCTCCTTATTCACTGAATTCCCCTCCTTCCCTTGATATTTCTAAGCTCCATGAAGGCAGAGACTGTTTTTCTCACTTTTTCAACAAGGCCCAGCATAAATCTGTTGCATAGTAGAAACCTTCGAATGAATGAACTATGTCTTAAAGTGTTTTTCTTCATAATATGGTTGAAAAGCCCTAGTAAATCTTCTGTTAGGTTTCTTACATTCACTATTTCATTTCAGTTTTCATGTCACTGCCCTGTGAAACACTCATGTTCAGGGCCTCTGTCTCAGGCTTGGACTGGTTTTAAGATTTTCCTCATTGCCCTGTCTCCTTAAAGTCTCTCTCTTCCATTCTATACTTCACACTTTTGTAATGTTGAGCTTCCTAAAGTACTCTAAATATAAGCCTTCATCTCTTTAAAAGCTTTGAAAGGAATATGACATAAAAAGATATTAATATCCTGATACTCCATAAAATCTTCCTAGTTATACACTAGAAAACTTAATGTATTTCCGAAGATATGTATAGCCTACATGTAAAAGTTTTTAGCAGAACTGTAATAGTAAAATACTGGAAACAAATGAAATGTCCAAGAGAAAAAGATGAAGAAATGATACAGTGATACAGTTGAACTACAATACTATGCAGTTAGGTTTTCTTTCTTTCCTCTATGAACTTTAGTGTATATGGTTCACAGGACAATTATTTTTCTTCTACGTGAGATTAATATATTAGTTTCATATGCCACCTGCTGGATAAAGTTGGTATAGTCTTACAAATTTATCTTTACCGAATATTCTGTCCATTGTTGACACTACCTGCCTCTATTCCCCATTTCATAAAATTTTTATAGATTGTTTAAAGCATACTAAAAGTAGCCATATAGTCAGCCTGAATTTGTGTCTTGTTAATGTTGAAACAAAAGGTCATTATGTGTAAATTTTAGGAAAGATTAGGTTGAAGAAACTGTGTTTCAACTTGTAGGAGTATTTGTAAATATTTATAAAATTTTATGCCTGGTGCGGTGGCTCACACCTGTAATCCCAGCACTTCGGGAGGCCGAGGCGGGTGGATCACGAGGTCAACAGATCGAGACCATCCTGGTCAACATGGTGAAACCCCGTCTCTACTAAAAATACAAAAATTAGCTGGGCATGGTGGCGCGAACCTGTAATCCCAGCTACTCGGGAGGCTGAGGCAGCAGAATTGCTTGAACCCACGAGGCGGAGGTTGCGGTGAGCCGTGATCGCGCCATTGCACTCCAGCCTGGGTAACAAGAGCAAAACTCCGTCTCAAAACAAGCAAATAAACAAACAAACAAAAATTTTATGTCTACATATAGCATTTTGCAATAGTTTCAAAGGGTGCTTTAATCTTATCCTCTAGGATGTTCTATACTATAGTTTAATATATGAAAAATAGCATGCAAATTCTCAAAAACATTAGGATTCTTTATATCTTTTTTGTGTCTTTAAAATTATTTTGAATTTTTTTATTTACAACAAATATGCTTTATAGGTGCTGGGAAGACAACACTTCTGAACTATATTTTGACAGAGCAACATAGTAAAAGAGTAGCAGTCATTTTAAATGAATTTGGGGAAGGTAAGTAAAGTTCAATAAATGTCACATGGCAAGATTTTATGTGACTGTTTATTCCTCTGGTGAATTGATATTCCATATTTAAAAATAAAAATGCAAGATATCGATGTGGATAGGTTTGGAAAAATTAATTTCTGTTAAGATTTATATGGGTTGAGATACTGAAATTCGTTTTCATAAAATTTTATTTTGTATAACTTTGGAATTCATATTGACAGAATTAAACTAGATTTTTACATGAAATAAATGACTCCAGAATAAAAATCTAGACATATGAAGAAACTTTGTTTAGAAACTAGAAAGGCACTTTTATATGAACTCTATTACTTATTGCAACTCATGAAAAATATTTGAAAATGCTTCAGTTAGTTTACTTTTTTTTAACATTTGTTATTTGCAATGCAGTTAAAACCAAAGATTTTAAAACTAAGTTAAACGTATGGTCTTTATCCTCATGTAGCTTAAATTATTTGTGAAAATAAGTGTGCTTGACTTCTCAACTCAACTATTAAGCTGTGGTTAAAAAAATAGTGCTAGACACAATACTTTGATTACCTTTATAGGAATTTTTCTTCATAAGTATGAATTGTAATCAAAGCTCTCTTCTAGCCAAAACCCAGTATCTATTAAACTATTTCTTTTAAAATATACTATTTGTTTCAGTTGTAAAAAGTAAAACAGCTAGGTTTTATAAACAGGATGGGAAGACTGTTACATTCGATTTCTGGTTGTAATAAACTAAAGAGAAAAGTGTGCTTTTTAGGCAAAAATCCTGGGATTTCTAATAACAGTCCTTTTTTTCCTTAGCATCTTATTAAATAGCCTGTTCCCGATTACATTTATTCTTACTATTTTCTTTCTTTTTTCCTGGATCATTTTCACAATTTTACTTTCACAGCATCCTCAATACTTTCCTTCATGTTTCATTAACATTCTCTATACAGTCTGAATGCTGTAGCAGCCCCTTTAGAAGCTCTTTATTAATACCTAGCTGAAATATGATAAAAAAATATATGTGTAAAGACACTCAATTTTATGGGTGGCTCGTTTGCTTGCTGGACTTTTAGAATTCTTCACCATTTGGTATATCTCTTTATTAGAAGAAAAGTAAAACATTTAAAATAATTATTATATATTACAAGCATTTCAAATATAGTTTATTCTTTCTTAAGTAAGTATTGGTAGACAACTATGTGAACTTGACTAAAAGTTTAATTTTTAAATGAGCACATGATACCCTGGCCAAAAACCTTTCTCCAAATGAACTAGGATTTTTACTCAGTGGGAGTATTTACCAGTTTGTCTAACAGAAACAATTTAGAAGAGGAACGAAGAGAAAAAAGATAGATAAGGCAGTCTCTTAAGATGTTGAAGGGCATGTAAAACCCAATATATAAAACATACCAGTCTATCTAGAAAGCTTACTCTGGACAAGAAAAAAATGCCTTCAAGATAGCTACTTTATTAAGAAATGAGGGTGGCCAAGGAAGAGGCCTAAGGAGGTAGTAGGTATGTTTATCAGTGGAGGGTGTGTCTTTTTAGGGGCTTAAGTCATCTTAAAGCTAAAATAATGTAGTGTACTGTAATTTAGATATCGAGGCTGCATGAATAAAATGAAAGAATGTTATAAAATGAAGTTTCTGCTTTAAGATCTCCATTACTGAGTTTCCCTCATCTTTGTTTTTTGTTGGCTAATGGACATAAGGTAAAGAATGCAACAATCTTGCATGTTCTTCACATATACCCCAAAACCTAAAATGCAATTAACAAAAAAAGTCAAATGCAAAAAAAAAAATTGCTGTTTGTTAATTATTCTAGGAAGTGCGCTGGAGAAATCCTTAGCTGTCAGCCAAGGTGGAGAGCTCTATGAAGAGTGGCTGGAACTTAGAAACGGTTGCCTCTGCTGTTCAGTGAAGTGAGAAATATGTTCACTATGTACTTGGTTTACTAGAAATGTTTATTGATTATATTTCCAGTTTTAATTTTCTTGAGTAATTTAACTGAATTTACAGTTTGCTTCATTGTATTTTCAAACAAATAGAAAATAAACTTATTAGGAAGCATTTTCTTAAAGTGTAATGCTTTGGCCCTTTAATTGAGTTTTTAATACTTTCGATGTCAGGGCTTATTTAATTATTAATCTCTAGTACATGAAAGTCTCATGTAAAAAATGATTATTCTGAATTTAATACGTCATTGGTCATATTTCCAAGTATTCAACCTTATAAAAACAAAATAAATGACTATGTTCTGCTAGTTAACTTTCCAAGGACAATGTCTATTTTGTTCACTAGTCTGCCATAGACCCTAGAAGAATACCCAACACACAGTAGTACTCAAATATTTGTTGGATGAATTATAAAAATGGCTAATTCTATTGTTAATTTTGTATATTTTAGTGAATTAAATCTCTTCAGCATCATTTACCCCCTTAGGTGTTTGACTTTTTGTCAAATGTATTAGCAAGGATAAAATTATAACAGACTTTCTTGAACAACCAAAATGTAATCTATTAAGTAATTTTCTTCACTTTTGATAAAACTTTAAAAAATGGGAAATTAAAACCTTGTATCCTAATGAAAAAAAGAATTAAATGGTGTTTAATACCAGTGTCCCTTTAGCTATTATATTAAACTACTATAGATAATAAATTTTATCATTATTTTGGATGTTGATTTTTTTTAATTTCATAAAGCTATAAAAATAAGATACTGACTTCGGTCAGATAAAGTTCCCTCTGCTTTTAATTTTAATAAAATTAAAGTATTCTTATGTGTATGATTTCTTTTTTTTTTTTTTACCTATTAGAATATATGCATTATTGTTTTCTCACTGGTAAATATGGGACAGACATTTTGTTAGAAGCTTAGAAGTGAGTTAAATTTTCACATTCCTAAGGACACTTTTGTCTCTGGTTGTTGAATATATTTTTAAATGTTTGTAATAATCACTTCAAAATATTTAGGTAATCAACTGTAAATTATGTTTCGGTATTCCCCAGGGACAATGGCCTGAAAGCTATTGAGAATTTGATGCAGAAGAAGGGGAAATTTGATTACATACTGTTAGAGACCACTGGATTAGCAGATCCTGGTAAGAAATGAGATTATTGTCAAATGTATTAGTAAATAGATGTATTAGAGGAAGATCTAAAATGAGTATTAAAGCTTTCCTTAGAATTAAAACTTTTTTGTTTTAAAAGAGGAAAAGTACTCAGTTATCATTTTCTTTGGCAGATGAATGATGTTCAGAGTATTTATTGGTATTTTTAAGCTGTTAATAGGATTTGAAGTTTTATTGCTTGATTTAGGATTATTTGTAAGAATAGTAGTTGTTAAAAGTATAGACATGCAGGAAAAGCAGAGGCTACCTCTAAATACAGTTGTTCCTTGGCATCCATGGAGTATTAGGTCCAGGACCTCTGAGGATACCAAAATCTATGAATGTTCAAGTCCCTTATATAAAATGATGTAGTATATGCCTAAAATCTATGCACATGCTCCCATATGCTTTAAATTATCTGTGGATTACTTACAATACCTAATACAATATAAGTGCTGTGTAAGTAGTTATTATACTGCATTGATAAGGGAATGATGACAAGAAAAAAAAGTCTGTACATTTTCAATACAGACACTGCCATCCATATTTTTTCTTTTTTCTTTTTCTTTTTTTTTTTTTTGAGACGGAAGCTCACTCTGTAGCTAAGGCTGGAGTACAGTGGTGCTATCTCAGCTCACTGCAACCTGCGCCTCCCATGTTCAAGTGATTCTCCTGCCTCAGCCTCCCAAGTACCTGGGATTACAGGTGCCCGCCACCATGCCCAGTGAATTTTTCTATTTCTGGTAGAAATGGGGTTTCACCATGTTGGCCAGGTAGGTCTCGAATTCCTGATCTTGTGATCCGCCCCCCTCAGGCTCCCAAAATGCTGGGATTACAGGTGTGAGTCACTGTGCCTGGCCCTTAAATTTTTCTATTTCTAAGCCACAGTTGGTTGAATCCATGGATGTAGAACCAACAGTTATGGAGGGCTGAATGTATATATTTCATTGGTTATATTCCATAGAGATTTTATTTCTGTTTACTGTCTAACCCAGCTTTCTGAGACAGTCATTAAGAGATATATAAAGGCTTTGGGCTCTCATCCCAGCAACACTTCTTCCCTTTAAGTTAATTTTTAGTGTTTTGTTTTTCTACTAATAATATTGCAATAATTTTATTTGTAAATTTTGTCATTAAGGTAACAAAGAAGACACAGTTAAATCTTCACTGGACCTTTTTCTCAGTGTGAAGTTAATGATTATCAAGAAAATTTTTACCTCCAAATAGAATTATATCTAAACTCCACTCTAGAAACATTGCTACTTCCTCTACTGAAGTCTGGAATCCCTCAAAATCATCTGTGAGGGTTGGAATCATCTTCTTTAAAACTCCTATTCATGTTGATATTTTGATCTCTCACGAATCACGAATCTTTTTAATGGCATCTAGAATGATGAATCCTATTCAGAAGGTTTTCTTTTTTTTTTTTTTTTTTGAGACGTTTCGCTCTTGTTATCCAGGCTGGAGTGCAATGGCGCAATCTCGGCTCACCGCAACCTCCGCCTCCCGGGTTCAGGCAGTTCTCCTGCCTCAGCCTCCTGAGTAGCTGGTCAGAAGGTTTTCAGTTTACTTTGCCAAGATCCATCAGAGGAATCACTGGCTATGGCAGCTATAGCTTTATGAAATATATTTCTTAAATAAGACTTGAAAGTCAAAGTTACTCCTTGATCAATGGGCTGCAGAATGGATGTTGTGTTAGCAGGCATGAAAACAACAATCTCCTTGTATATCTCTATCACAGCTCTTGAAAGGAATCTTTTTCTAAGCATTAGCTCTCAATGATGGGCTTAAACCATGCTGTAAACAGTAAACCATGCTATAAACAGAGGTGCTGTCATCCAGGCTTTATTATTTATAGAAAACAGGCAGAGGGGATTTAGCATTAATTCTTAAGGGCTGTAGGATGGTAAATGATTATTGGCTTCAACTTGAAGTCACCAGCTCCTTTATCCCCTAACAAGAGAATCAGCCTGTCCTTTGAATCTTTGAAGCCAGAGATTGACTTCTCTTTAGCTGTGAAAGTCCTAAATGGCATCTTCTTCCAAAAGGAGGCCATTTCATCTCCATTAAAAATCTATTGCTAGGCCCTGCACAGTGGCTCACGCCTGTAATCCCAGCACTTTTGGAGGCCAAGGGGGGCAGATCATGAGGTCAGGATATCGAGACCATCCTGGCCATAGTAAAACCCTGTCTCTACTAAAATACAAAAAAATTAGCTGGGTGTGGTGGTGTGTGCCTGTAGTCCCAGCTACTCAGGAGGCTGAGGCAGGGGAATTGCTTGAATCCGGGAGATGGAGGTTGCAGTGAGCTGGAATGCCACTGCATTCCAGCCTGGCGAAAGAGCAAGATTCCGTCTCAAAAAAAAAAAAAATCTGTTGCTTAGTGTAGCTACTTTCATGAATGATGTTAGCTACATCTTCTAGGTAACTTGTTGCAGCTTCTATTTCAGCACTTGCTGCTTTACCTTGCACTTTTATGTTATGGAGATGGCTTCTTTCCTTAATCTTGTGAACCAGCCTGTGCTACCTCCCAACATTTCTTCTCCAACTTCCTCACCTCTCTTATAACCTTCATAGAACTCAAGAGAATAGGGTTGCTCTGAATTAGGCTTTGGTTTAAGGGAACATTGTGGCTTGTTTGATCATCTGTCCTCTCCATATCAGCAGTAAGACTGTTTTGTTTTATCATTTGTGTGTTTACTGGAGTAGCCCTTTTAATTTCCTTTAAGAACTTTTCCTTTGCATTCACAACTTGTCTAACTTGCTCAAGAGACCTAGCTTTTGGCCTGTCTTGGCTTTCAACATAACTTCCTCACCAAGTATAATCATATCTAGCTCTTGATGTAAAGTGAGAAACAGGTGACTGTTCCTTTCACTTGAACACTTAGAGGCTGTTCTAGGGTGTTAATTGACCTAATTTCATGTTGATCATATTCTTTATGTTGTAATGGTTCCATCATAATTCTTTTAGTTCTATGTTTTAATAGTTTTGGTGCTCATTACTAGTACTGTTGCTTCTCCATTCCTGAGTTAGTCCATCTCCTGATTGAATTTCATTGTCAGGAAATCTTTTCAAGTTATAGGTACTGCTTTCTTTGGGTTCTTACACACTTCATTGATTGAAAATATTTGTCTTCTGTTTTTATGTTACTTGAAGGATTACTTGGCTAGGTATAAAATTTATCAGTCACACATTTTCCCCCCTCAACTTTGTAAATTTTGTTCCATAATCTCCTAGTGTTTTTTGATTGGCTGGATTTCCTTGTCCATTGCTTTCTTCTTTTATTTTTATCAGGAAGAATTTGTGAGTACTATAGTCTCTGAGTTTCAATGCTTGAGAATGTCTGCCTGTTGCTTTCATTCCTGAAAAATAACTTCACAGGAGGTAATATTGTTTGGGAACACTTTGATTAGAACTTTGTGGTCACTGTTTTATGATTTTGGGACATCTAGTGTTACTGTAGAAAAATCTGATTTTCCCCCCTTCCTCTTTGAAGCTGGCTTTTTTAAAATCTAAAATGAATGAAAGATTTTTTTTTTATTTTTGAAATTCAGTAATGTAAAGAAGATATATCTAAGTGCCATTTATAATTGTTTTTTCCTGAATTATAATATGCCCTTAGTTCTTTTAAGAACATTTTTCTTGTTACCATTAATGCTTTCTGTTGGGTCAAATTATTGTTTTCTCTCCTTCTTGACACCAGTTTTCCTTATGTTGAATTTTCTTCTTTTTTCCATCTGTATTCTAATTGCTTTTATTTGTCTTTTACCTCTACATTTACTGTAATCCTCTGAAATCTTTTTTTTTTTTTTTTTTTTTTTTTGGTCAATAATTCTGTTTTCTGCAGTTTCTATTCTGGTTTTGATGTTTTAAATGAATTAATTGGTTAAGTCATTGTGTTTATAGGCTCTAAGTTTCTTTAGCACTACAAACTGGATTTTCATCTTACTCTGCTTCTTGCTTTTGAGCTTGTTTTTATAGGGTTGTATTGTTTTTAAGTTCTTTATTATGATGAAATTATTGAGAATTTTCTTTCTTTCTTTATTTTTTTTTTATTATGTATCCTTCCAGAATGGGTTCTTTGCCACTTGTGTGCCCTGTTCATTTCTTTCCTTTTTTGTTATTTCTTGCCTTTTATTCTGTGTGTGTGTGTGTGTTTCTTTTTGTCAGGCTGTAATACCTGTGCATACATGTTTCTTCTTGATATGGGAGGCTCAGAGAACTTATATGTGGTGCTGATGGAAAATATTTTTAGTACTCTACTCTTCTTACCCAAATTTGTTTTTCTCCTGAGCTCTAGTTTGAAAGCTGTATATTATTGGAGTGGAGGGAAAGAGAAGGGAAAAGTGGTGATTCAGAGAGCCAGATGGGCTATTTGGCTTTTGGGCTCTGCTCTCTTGAAGTACCAAGCATTTCCCCCTTGGGTCTGCCCAAGTGCTTATGAATAAAAATCCTGTGCCTTGTGTGGGGACATTATTCAGCCTCAGACCTCTCTTTTCTCTTTGTTCTGAGCCCTAGAAAATGACCTGACTTTCTCCTTCCCAAAGCATGGAGATGGTTAAAACTTACTCTTGAAATTTTTTTGTTGACTTTTCCCTGTATTGCTTAGTCATTCCTCAGCTACTTTTTGCCATTTTGGAAGGTATTTGTGATAAGTGTTTAGGATTTTGCAGACTATTTCCCTACAACCTCTTATTGGAGGTAGGTGTAGAGTTGGGAATAACCATAAATCATATAGAACTTTGTTTCTTATTTAGACTGTCAGTCTTCAAAATTTATGATAGGCCCTTTTATATTTGGTTGCTGTTAATAAAATTTTGGCTTGTTTTATTTTTTTATTTTTATTTTCATTTTTTGTTTTATTGGGTTTTGAAGAAGGGAGATTCTATAATCTAGCTCAGGTTTTCTCAATGTCAGCACAGATAACATTTTGGGTTGGGTAATTATTTGTTGTGAGGGGGTTGCCCTGTGCATTGTAGGATATTTAACAACATCCCTGACTTCTACATACTAGACGCCAGTAGTATTCCCCTAGTTCAGACAACCAAAAATATCTTCAGACATTGCCAAATATTTCCCAGGTAGAAAAGCAACCTGGTTTGAGAGTCACTGATTTTTTTTTTTTTTTTTTTGAGACGGAGTTTCACGCTTGTTACCCAGGCTGGAGCAATCTCACGCTCATGGCAACCTCCGCCTCCTGGGTTCAGGCAATTCTCCTGCCTCAGCCTCCTGAGTAGCTGGGATTACAGGCACGCGCCACCATGCCCAGCTAATTTTTTGTATATTTTTTAGTAGAGACAGGGTTTCACCATGTTGACCAGGATGGTCTCGATCTCTTGACCTTGTGATCCACCCGCCTCGGCCTCCCAAAGTGCTGGGACCACAGGCTTGAGCCACCGCGCCCGGCCGAGAGTCACTGATTAACTTTGTTCACTCATCTTTACTCTTCCCCCTAAATACCTACATCCAAATTTTAATTAGATCTTTCTCGTATAGTCTGGCAAGTATTATATCAAAGACAAATATCAGTTTTAGAATAAAGCTTTAATATACTCTTACATTTCAACTTAAGAGGCAAATATTAACAGTAGGATTTATAAGCTATTTACTGGAATAAAAATCAATGAATATTTAAAAATTACAAAATTATTTATGTATGTTAGATATTTTACTGAGTGAAAAAATTAATGCTTTTTAAAATAACTTATTGTTTGGAGTAGTGATACAGTAGATTTAATTTTCCCCCTCATAATTAAAATCATGTTTTAGCCAAGAAAGTGAACAAAATTCTTATTGGCAATTCAGTTGTTTCCTGTTTCGGAGAATGACACTCTCCAGTTCTAAGCCAAATAATTGTCATGGTAAAGTAATTTCCTTGAAAGGGACGGACATTGATTCAGCCGCTGTTACTCACAAATCCTATTTCAGTCAAATTGGAAAACTATTAAGTTTTTTGGAAAAAATCAATAGACATCAGGAAACCATTAGATTTTGTGGCCCTTGCTATATCTTGCATGAGTAATCACTGTAAACAGCTGACAGGTATTTCATTGTTGACACGGAGTGATGCTTGGGGGACCACATCTTGTCAGAATAGGAGGACAGCTTTAGACATTGGAATGAGTTTGGTTATCCTTGTTTTTCTCCTACGCTGATTCTTTTAGACAGCCCTGTCACTAACTGGGCCTGTGATGCTTTGAAAAATCAAATACTTTCCTTGCTGTCAGTTTTCTTTTTCTTGTGTTGTGGCATACTAATCAGGGTATGTGGTTTGATATTTAACCAGTTTCTGTCAAAAACAAGTTTTAATTTATTATTTAGGCACAATTTTTCCTCAGACCCAGGTTTTATACTGTACTAAATAGTGTGAGAAATAATTAGTAATGCCATAGAGTATATAATTTTACTTCTAGTTCTACACATATTCCAAGTAAATTTTTTTTGGACAAGTGATTTTGGAATTATTGATGTTTTGTTTTCCTTTTTCTTTAGAGTGATAATTCACTGTTTATGACCTGAATGGTTATCATATTAAGGAGATGAGCAAATAAAAATAAGTCTGATGTGCATAAAGCCATACTGCTCAAACTGTTTGATAATATCTGTTATTAAATTATTATGGCATTGGTAGAAGAATGATGTCTTGTTTGCATGTGGTAAGAAGTGGTCTTCTTTAAAGGAAATAACAAGAGGGATAGAAATGGGATGGGTATAAATAGTAAAAGGTTCTATCACTATAATTTCCTTTTACGATAAATAGTAAAAGGTTCTATCACTATAATTCCCATAAGAAGATATATGTGTTTACCTGTTAATTTCATCAGGGCAAATTAAAGCATGGATAGACGCATGTTTCTCCGTGTGAAGAAATATTTTCATTTGATGAATATTATATATTTTCAGGTGCAGTGGCTTCTATGTTTTGGGTTGATGCTGAATTAGGGAGTGATATTTATCTTGATGGTAAGTTAAAAAAAGAATTTTCTCTCTTTTTTTTTAAGATACAGTCTTGCTCTGTCACCCAGGCTGGAGTGCAGTGATATGATCTCAGCTCAATGCAACTTCTGCCTCCCAGGTTCAAGCAATTCTCCTGCCTCAACCTCCCAAGTAGCTGGGACTACCAGCTTACACCATCATTCTGAGCTAATTTTTGTATTTTTCTTAGAGACAGGGTTTCCCCATGTTGGCCTGGCTGGTCTCAAGCTCCTGACCTCAGGCAATTCATCAGCCTTGGCCTCCCAAACTGCTAGGATTATAGGCATGAGCCATTGCACCCAGCCTCTTTTGTTTTTAAGTAAAATCTTTATGGTTAAACTTACTTTTATTAATTCATATTATAATTTTAATTCCTTGTATTGTTCTTTTTAGACTTTAGTTTAATGATGAAGTCTTTGTTCATATAGTTTGAAAAACCCCAGACAGTGGTGGAACTGGATGTCACTCAACTCCCAATTTAGTGTTTCCACTAAGGTTTTCCTTAAAAAAAATGCTATGTAGATTTTCTGTTTCCTCTGTTGTTTGATTTATGCACTTAGTATAATGTTAGAGCCTGTTAATCTGCCAGGCAATATGAGGATCATATTTTTGCTCTCATTTTTCATTTAATATACGAATTAAACACTCCTCCTTAACACTTGTGGGCAGTAGACTTTATAAATTTATATACATGATATGCCTTCATTTAAAATGTTAGAAACTTCCTTAGTTAAGCAGCTATGTTTTCTCCGTCCCTCTTTCCCTTTTTCACCTTTTAAAAAACCAGTCTTTTTATTTTTCAAAAGTAAGAATCATTAAGAAATTTTGGAATTACTAAGCCAGGCCCCATCATTGAGCTCTAATATATGTGGCATATAACTGGTTGAATTCCTTAGGGATAATTAAACTCATTCTATTGTTATCAGCATATATTCAGAGATTACTAATGAATTGGTAGCTTAGAAACTTAGGCATGTGTTATGAAAAACATTTTTATGAGTTGAATATGGTGAGAGATGTCAGGAATAAGATATCCTAAGATGTCTCATTCTTTAGGCAATAATTTAAATGTTAAGAAATTTTTATGATTTTGATTATGTGAAAATAAACTAGAAATAACTTGTCTTGACATTTGTCACATTTGACTATGTTATGAAATTTGACGTATATTTTGGATGGTAAGCTTTTTAAGTGACAAATCTTATTTTCTTATTTAATTTTAAAAATGTATTTATTTTATATCTTCTCTGGTACCTTCAAATAGTGCTACTCAGTATATATTTGAAATGCATTGACTTGCTTTTGGAATTTAATTAAATGGCGGTACTGGCAAGAGGAAAAAACAGTACTTTTATTGGGTAGCATTTGTGAACTGAAATAGATTAGTTTTAATTTTCATTCTCAAGTATGGTTGCATAATATTAATAAACACTCTTTTTTAAAAGGATGATTAAAATGTTTTTTCCTTCGTAGGTATCATAACTATTGTGGATTCAAAATATGGATTAAAAGTGAGTCGAAAGATTTCTATGAGTGGCTAACTGTTGAGAGCTGGGAATATGTTTCTATCTGTAATTTTTTTTAACAAAAACCTTTTTCAAAAAAGTATCCTGAACAATAGATAAAATTTGTGTTTTAATTATTTGTGTTAAATATTTCTTTTCTATTACTCTGAGTTTGATTTGGTGATAAAATTTAGAATTACAATTTGTAATAATCACATGTGGTCAGGTTAAATTTTGGTATGTCTAACTCTTTACTAGGATTCAACTCCAATATTGTTAAGTTTTTCTGTTTTGTAGAGGAAATCGAGCTTAATAAAGCATCTGAGATCTTATTTTTCTTGTTAAGTTGCTATTAAACACACATTGGAAATGAGTTTTTAAAAAATATTGAAGACTTAGGTGATAAGTCTTCAATATTTAGGTTCAGCACACCACCATGGCAGACATTTACCTATGTAACAAACCTGCACATTCTGGACATATACCCTGGAACTTAAAACTAAAAAAATGCATATTGAAGAAAATCAGTATATATACATAGGATTGGTAAGGAGAATCTCTCCATTAAAAGGCATCTTGCATCACTTCTTTGTCTTTTGGCTAAGATCAAGTGTAAAAGACATCCTGCTGTGAATGTTTTTGTTAACTTCAAAGGTCTTTAAATGCATTTAAATGAGGTTTAATTTATAAAATGCATTTAGTAAGATCTTTAAAAGTATATTGTTACATAAAGTAAAATGATATTTCTCAACTTCCCAAGTGAGATTTCAGTAAAGGCAGAAGAGGATGAAATTATTCCACCCACTGACCCAGTCCCAGTCTAAGCATATGGATAGGGCCCAAAGCAATAATTTCTTAGAAATTTAAATTCAGTGTTTAGAAATTTGTATCAGTTTTGTATCCAACCTCATAATATATCTGAACTTGTTAATTTTTTTTTTTTTTTTTTTTTTTGGAGACAGAGTCTCACTCTGTCTCCCAGGCTGGAGTCCAGTGGCACCATCTTGGCTCACTGCAACCTCCATTTCCCAGGTTCAAGTGATTCCCCTGTCTCAGCCTCCTGAGTAACTGGGATTACAGGTGCGCACCACCACGCCCAGCTAATTTTGTGTTTTTAGTAGAGATGGGGTTTCACCATGTTGGCCAGCCTGGTCATGAACTCCTGATCTCAAGTGATCCACCTGCCTTGGCCTCCCAAAGTGCTGGGATTACAGGTGTCAGCCACCGTGACCAGCCTGAACTTGTTACTTTTTAAGTTTGCTTTTTTTTTCTAACTCTTTGCTGAAATTATATTCTAAGGGGATATGTCAGGCTCGTCAAATAGCTACCAATACCTCTTCACTGGGCCTTCTCTCCATCGTGGATAGAGTGCCCTAATTTGAAAAGTTTGGAAGAGAATTCCTTTTTTAGAGTTTAAAAATCTCAATTTATGAATTTATGAATATAATTTATAAATCAAAGAATGATCCCAAATACAGTACTACAGTTTCACTCAGAAAAATTCCGACAACTGTTGGAAATGATACTTCTTGCAAAATGCTTATTGGGGTAGCAAAAAAAACCCCAAGTTATTTATTTTCAATGTTTATTATAGGCATGTTTAAATCCATCTCTCCATAAATGTGTTATAAAATTTGATATGTGACAGATGACTGCTAAGATATTTTGGGTTTTTGTTTTTGATAGACTTAAAATGCCATACTGAAATTCAAACTATTTATATATTTTATGATTATAGAAATAATTTTATATGTATAGTTGGGTATGGAGAAAAGTTAAGTAGAATCTAGTATCAGCATGATAGAGACCAAAAAAACAAAGCAACATTCTGAATAATGCAAACACAGTAAACGTTTAACCTCCTGCCACCTTGGTAAAACCTCTTAAATTATTAAATCAATATACCTACACAAAACTGACACACTGTTAGGATAATGGAAACTTTAGATTTTCTAAGACGGATGCCAGATAAATAACTTTGCCTTGATATAAAGAAATTGCCAACTTGTTCAATTCCTCTGGTTGCAAAGCTTGACCTCAGTAGCTGCTTGTGATTCAGAGAATTCTGAGGCAGTACAAGTAATGACACTTGGATAATGGGCAGCAATTTAAGGGTGTCATGCTTCACAGAGCCAGCCCATAACAAATAAAGCTGAGAAATGGTACCCTGTGGCCAGCCAGCCAAATTGAAACTGAAGTGATAATTGATATCATGGGGGTATCACTCTAATGGGATTGTCACTCATTGATCTGAAATATTCATTTTTTAATCATAGTCAAAGAATTGGACAACTTAAAATGACAGCTCTCTATTCTCAGGACTTGACACCTAGGGTACTGACATTGTTCTTTACAGTTCTACAAATGTGACAGCATTTAATGCAATAGAAGCAGTGAGTGAAGTTACCCAGAAAAGGTCAAGTGAGACAATTCAGTCAGAAAACAGTTTGGCTTGGAAAAGGCCAGAAAAATAAATAGACTGACATTATGCAATAATTTTTAAAAAACTAAAATAGTGTTATGTCTGTAACCAATCCATCTGAAAGAAATAGTTCCTGCTGCTGCGTTTTAAAAATGACATTAGACATCTTTGACACTAGATTTATTTCCACTCTGGTCAACAGCAGTGTTCTTTCATAGCCAGTGTTTTAAGATAGTTTTTTCTTTTCTTTCTTTCTCTCTTATTGGTCCAGCTTCTTTCTTTATTTCTGCAGAAAAGGATACCCTATAGCCCTTCATGAAGTTATGCCTACAGTGGTGTTATTTCAGAGAGTTCTTTTGTTTCTCTCCCTAACCACCAGGATTACTGAGGTATAATTGACAAGTAAAAAATTATAAAATATTTAAGGTATACAATGTGTGAATTACATTATAAAACAATCAAGCTAGTTAACATATATATCTATCACCTCACATTGTTACCATTTTTTTTTGGGAGAGAGTGGTAAGAACAATTAAGATCTATCTCTTAACAGATTTCAAGTATAAGAATTAACTGTAGTCATGGTATTGTAATTAGCTCTCCATGATTTATGCATCCTGCATAACTGAAACTTTGTAATCTGTGACCAACATCTCACATCACTCCTCTTTTTCTCTTTTGTTTCTTGTGATGAATTAAATTGGTGTTTTGAACCTTAGCCTTTTGAATATGTTGGATTAATTAGTACCAAAATTATTTTTGTCTTTTTTGATATATAAGCAAAAGCCACAGTTCTTAAGCAGAGATAAGAAATATTTTGGACATCTATGTAATATAAAATATTTTTAAAAATATTTTGCAAAAATTTTTCCTTCATTTACTTATACAGTTAGATTAGAATGCCAAAATTTCCATCTTGTTTTATTTTATAAATGAAAGTCATTTGACTTAATGAGAAAATGGTGTATAATGTATTATTGGAGAATGTTCTTTTGAATAGAAGACATTGGTTTTAAACTTTTTGCAGAGTTTGACTTGGGAAGGTAGGAAGTCACATGAGGGAAACGTAGGGCTGATGTCCAAAGAAAATAAATGTTAGTTTGCACTTATTTTTTAAAATGTTCATTTGGCTTTCCTATGTGTGTATAACAGGACATTTATCTCTTCTGCTATAATTGTACATGATTACATAGAATTTTAATAGAGTTGTAAATATTGGCAGGCTTTCATTTGGGGTGATTTTCATTTATTTTTATATTTGATACTTTCTGACTGCCTGGAGGTAGTAAATGTTGATCTACCACTGTTAGTTTTGAGTGAAGAATTCTAATACTTTGGAGAAGTAAATGCATTTAAAACATACATTACTGTGTGAAACTACCGTTTTATTCGTTACACTTAGGTATGAAAATGCAAAAACAAATCTGTAGTTCTTCTGTCACATCATTTTTATGCCTCACAAACTCATAGCCAAATAGCCGCAAATTCATATATAAAACAAAAGCTTCCATAAGGTTAATAACACAGTATCTTGAAAAATTTCAGTTTAAAAAAAATTTTCAGTAATATGGGATCATTCAGAGGCAGATGCCTTGTGAAAAATATATTATTGTTAAGTAGATTTACTGCTTAATGGGAAGAGATTTGTTGTTGCATGTTATATGGCATTTTTCATGTAACATCTTTTACGTATCCCTGTCAACAAGTAGGAGGTGTTAACTACAATTCATTCAACAAATATTTGTTGAGCCTTTGTGTCAGGCACTATTCCAAGGTCTGTTAACAGGCTTATTTTCAGGTCAGGCGCGGTGGCTCAAGCTTGTAATCCCAGCACTTTGGGAGGCCAAGGTGGGTGGATCACGAGGTCAAGAGATCGAGACCATCCTGGTCAACATGGTGAAACCCCATCTCTACTAAAAATACAAAAAATTAGCTGGGCACGGTGGCGTGTGCCTGTAATCCCAGCTACTCGGGAGGCTGAGGCAGGAAAATTGCCTGAACCCAGGAGGTGGAGGTTGTGGTGAGCCCAGATCGCGCCATTGCACTCCAGCCTGGGTAACAAGAGTGAAACTCTGTCTGGGAAAAAAAAAAAAAAAAGAAGGCAGGTTTATTTTCTAGATGCAGAATATATAATTATAGGGCTTGTTATACCTCATGCCAAGATGAATTATGGAAAAATATTAAACTTGGTCTTTTGGCATGAAATGATTTTTGATACAATAATTTTCAAGTTCTGTGACTTCCATAATTGTAGAGTGGGTCTGTAGTTGAATTGAACTAGATTGTTCCTGAAGTAGAAGCGAATATCATTGCCATGATTTTATTTCAGTTTTGTTTTCCTCAAAATAGAATTTGCTAAACTTTTAGAAGGAAAAAATGTTTCCTCTGCAGACCTAACCAAGCATATTAAATTATTACCTGTTTGCTCTTAGGTTCCAAACTATTCAGATACTCCTAATGATCTTCTCCCTATACTGGCTTGACTCTGATATATGATTATTAACATTTGTATAACACTGTACACAGACTGATTTTATGTGACATAAAAGGATTCGCAAAGACTTTAAAATTGTGTTCATTTTACTTGTACTAGTGTGTTTTCAATTTAAAAAAATAGCCCCTGTGATTGTATATAAAATATAGTATCCTGTGATGATGAGGGTGTTAGATTTAGTTTCTTCTTTTATAAATGAAAATAGCCACTTCCCATAATTATTATGAAAGCTAAATGATAAAATGTATATAATAACTTATAAAGTTAAATTCAAAGATTTAATAATTTATGAAATTGACTTCAAATATGAAGAGTATTACTACAATCCAGTTGCCTCTAAACCTCAGTAGGCAGCTTTTTATTGTGACGGGAAACCTCTATTGAGGTTTGAGGTGATGAGGGTGAAAAATTTAATTTTAGAGAAGAAGCTTGTGGTGTGGCATTGATAACTTTAGGGATGTAAGTAGGATTATGGGAAAAAAAATAAAAAAACCTTGCCTCCAGAGAGATGAAAAGTACCACATGGGCTCTAAGTCAGTGTCAAAATTTTTTTTTTGGAGGTAGCCTGACTCTGGAGAGGTCAGTAAAATAAACAGTTGCAATGGAGAGGCTAGATTAGCAAGTAGGGGTTACTAAATGATAAATGGCTTTTAGGCTAGAATCAGGGCTGAATTAGCCCTCCCACCACTTATTTGTTTCGAGGGTGTTTGAAGGGCCTAGAACTGAGTTCACATGGTGCATGATTGTGGTCTGGGCAGTAGGGAAGTATATTAGATTCTAATATGGGGGTGGGTGTGAAGGGAAGTATATTAGATTCTAAGAAAATATGTTTTAGTGGTTATCCTTTTTTAAAATAAGTAATAATGAGTATTTAGAACAAGAACAGTTTTGTAAGAAGGAAAATGCCTAAAATCTGAACTGTATTCTATGTTTTTATGACATTATGTAAATCAAAGGTGTTTTCCTTTTAAGTGAAAGAAAAGGTCAGGAGTATGAAATCCTAAGCCCTTTTCCTCCCCCCATAAAACCCTACAGGTTCACTGTAGAAAAAAATTGCAAGTGGGGAAGAAAAATGCTTTCAGAGAGAAAAGTTAGTTCTGAATTTGTGTACTTGAGTAACAGTAGTTGAAGTTTTTATTAGATGCAAGAAGATGTCTCTAAAGTAAAATCCTTTGTGTTAACATTCGATTTTGTATTGTATTATAGTAACTTTATTCAAACTTTTTTTTTGTTTAGCATTTAACAGAAGAAAAACCTGATGGCCTTATCAATGAAGCTACTAGGTATTCATATTTAAAATATATATTGATTGCTGGCTAATTGGAAAGAGAAAAATCACTAAGATGAAAACCAAAAGCAAATTAAGAAATTTTAAAACATAGTCAAGGAAAATTTATTTTCTTTTTTCTCATAGTTTAATTATTGCTATCTATTTGTTATGATCTGTTAACTTTTCCTTAAAGTCATTTTTGTTGTAGCATAAAGTAAATGCTGAACACAGAAGTTCTGTAATTTTGAGGAACTTGGGAAATATTAACATTTAAAAATATTTTCTTGTTATATAATTTCTTTGGGATTGATGATTATAAAAAATAGATAGATGTCTCAGTGCCTTTAATAGTAGTTCCTTGATTTCAGTGTTTATTGTTATTCAGGAAAATAGAGGAACAAATATGAAAATAGTTTTAATTTGGCATTAAAACATTTTTTGTTTAAACACTTCTATGTTTCTAATTTATTTGTCTTTAGACTTAGAAATGCTTAAATTAGTTTGTCTGCCCTAAGCATATTCTTACTAATAGGATAAAGGTAAGATAGATGACAGTCACTAAAGATGCTGCTGGGTTTGCAAGTGAGACCCTCTGGGATTTGCTAAAGACTACAAATAAGCAATTTATTCCCAATTATTTTTGAGTATGGTACTCTGTTGTTGTGTAATGCTGCTTAAACACTGCATTTGGTATAGGATTCAAATCAGAATGAACTTAAATATTTTTGTAACTTTTTTCCTTATGAAAATACAGTTATTATAGAAAATATAAATAAGTCTAATAGAAAATAGCAAAATTGAATGTTGTGTACATACTGTTGAAACCTGCTTTTTCAGTGAACTAAAGTTAATTTAGTTTTGAGAATTTAGTTGTATTCTCTGAGATATAGCATAATACCCTGAAGAATTGAGGAAAATTGAAAGAATTTCCAGTTTTACTATCCTGTTAATAGAACATAGAGCTTCTGATTATTATCATCTACTTTGTTATCTAGCAGTTAGCATGGGTTCTTTATAGAGATAATATACAGTATATTTATAGTGATAAAGAGGACATTTGTATGATATCCTGGTATGTCCTCTGAAGTATACCTTTTTTTTTTTTTTTTTTTTTTTTTTTTTTAAGAAATGTAGTGCTGTTTTGTTGCCCAGGCTGGACTTGAACTCCTGGGTTTAATTAAGGTTTCCTCCCTCCTTAGCCTCCTAAGTAGCTAGGACTACAGGTGTGTTCTACCATGCCCAGCTCTGAAGTATAGTTTTAATATAGTTTTTAGTATGAAGTGAACTTAATTCTATTTCTTTGAAAATTATGGTAAATATTAGAAGAAATATTTTAGTACATAAACTTCTTATTGTTACCATATTGGATGTTTGAATTTTGTGCTTTTCTTTTTTTTCTTAATTTTTTTTATGCTTTTCTTTACGGAAAAAATATGAGTTGAAAATCATTCTTTTGATTGTAAACTTTTTGAGACTTATCTTTCTAGCACAAGAATAGCAAGTAAGAGTTAGAAAATACTTTTTGAATGGGTAATGTGAAATCTGAACTTGTATAGTGATGAATACAATTCATTCACATTGAAAAATTAGCAGATTAGGAGTAAACTAAATCACTATAGAGCAGCTATATAATTCTTAACTGATATGTTTATCTGCATGAGGTGTTTTTATTTTCAATTTATTAACATTTCTCTTTTGATATATTAATCTGCATGAGGCATGTCTATTATTTAAAATTTCTTAGCATTTTTTTTTGTTTGCTATTTTAGGCAAGTTGCTTTGGCAGATATAATTCTCATCAATAAAACAGACTTGGTTCCGGAAGAAGATGTAAAGAAGCTAAGAACAACAATTAGGTACAAAATGATAAGTGTGTTAAGTGCCTACAGATCCATATCATACGACTCTGAATATTTTTTACCATGACAGTTGCCCTATAGAAACTTAAGGTTTAAGGTTGACCTGCTTCAAGAACCATTAGGGAATCACATATGTTGTTGTTGGCTAATTGACTGTTATATAAATAGCAGTACATAAAATTAGTCCCCAGAGCTTGCAGAATATATTTCACAGTTAATATACTGATTTTCAGGGTCCTCTCACTCCATCCTTTTCCTGTCTTCTCTTTGACTCTTTCCTAATGTCAGTCTTCCCTAACTACCCAGGATGGTTAATTCCCTTTCCGATGGATACATCCTGCCAGTTCCTGTCTTTACTCATAATACATTCTCACTCTGCCAATCCCTGAAATCTTTCTTGTTTTGTTTTTTCGTTTCTTTTAAAAAACAACTTATTCTATGGAGCCTATTCTATCTCTGTCTCCCCCACTCCTATGTGAAGTCATTCCTGACTCAGTGGGTCTTACTTCCCTGAACTCTCATTGATGTCATCTTCCTTAACTGGAAACCACACCTTGTCTTCCAGCTTGCTTTAATATCTTCTTTGGCCATAGCCAAGGCTGATCAGCATAGGACAATCAGAATAATATGAATGATGCTCAAATATATGTTAACAGTCATTTTGCTGACTGTTCTGGAGACTCCCATTCCTTTTGAAAACAAAGATGGATTTTTCAAATGAATTTATAGTTCAGAGACTTTTTGAATTATTTTGTAAAACCTGAACTAATAAAAGCTCTATACAGAGAGATATATGGTAGCCATTATTATGGTTATCTTTAATGTATATAATGTTTTGAGCATGATGACTCAAAATTACTATTCTTAGTATTTATAAGTTCTGACATCAAAGTTTAAATCTGTCATTTGAGTTCATATAGTATATATTATAAATTGAATCAATGAAGGTAAGTCTTATTAGGAGATTATTTTCAATGATTAATGATTGTAGAACCTAAAGTGCAATAAAAAAATATAGTAAACATAATGAAATACTTAAAAATAAATAAATGAAAGATGGATTAGCAATAAAAAAATAAATTCATATTTTTTCCACATATTTAGTCTTATTTTAATAGCAATTGTCCTTAAACTTTATTATTAAAAAATGTGTAATGTCTCCATGTGGAGGGTAGGTATTGTTGCATAGTGTTGAAGATCACGGACCTTGGAATTTGCTTGGGTTCTAATCCTTGGTCTGTTTCTCATTGTGTTCTTAGGGAACGTATTTACTCTTTTAAAGCCTCCTCTATAAAAGCAATAATGCTTATCTCATAAGTCTGCTTTCAGTATTACATAAGACTATGTTAGTAAACTTTGCACAGTGCTGACACATAGTAAGTGCTCTGTTAGCTGTTATTATGTAGGTTTTTTTTCTTAGCTAACATAGTGAGTTCAAGGTATAGTAAATAAAAAAGGGAAGAAAAAAGATGGATGATATTTTTGAAAACTGATGAAATTTTGAAAAAACTGATTTTGGAAAGGTGAAAGTGATGAAGATTGCCTTTACATTTTTTGACACTGGTCTTCTAATCTTGTTTGTCTTTTCAAAAATCTCGTGCACCATTGTGATTGCTAAGAACCCAGTCTACTTAACAAACGTTTTTGGCATAAAAGGAATGATGATGATGATTACTTGGCTTTTATATCCTTATATAGACTAGCTAAATCTCTGACACTGACAATAACAGTACTAGAAATGAATTCGGAAGAAGCAGTTTAATAAATTACATACTTGTTTGACTTTTACTTGTACTCCCTTTATATCAGACTTGTGACTGACTCAGAATCATATTTGAGGAGTTGAAAAAAGGCAAACATATTTGAGAGGAAATAGCTATCAGTCTATAGAGTATATTCAAAAAAGAAGATTAAGAGTTTTGTAAAATAGTGAAGAGACTTGCTCAGAATCTTTATATTTGGGAAACCTCATTCATGAGAACAAGCTTGAACAAGTAGCAAGTATCTTGGGTAAGTAACCCTAAAGACAGTGAATTGATGATAGATGATAAACAATGGAAAAGATAAATAGATGAGGTGTACAGTATGTTGAAAAGATTTTAACAGGTACATTTTGGTGCCATACAAAAAGAGCCATATTCTATAATATCGAAAGAGGGAGAACAGGCATAAGGAGTAGAGAGCCTAGTTAGGGAACTGAAGAGGTTATTCTATAAATGAACCTGGGATGTGTGACTTAGAATTACTGTGAATACCACGGGCAGGCTGGGGGCAAAGCTACTTATAACTAGTTTTTTATTTTTAGTGTGTATATAGCCATTTCTACCAGGTATGCCTGAGGAAGAAAGTGGCCACCATGAAAATTTTGGGTGTCTACTAATTTTTAAGAACTCTAAAATAGCTACTTATGAATGATTTTTTTTCTAAAGTGAAGCATCTTCTTCTTAATCACAAAGTAGCCCTTAATTGGGCAGTTGTGCAGATTTTTGCATATATGTTTTCTTGATGGATGAGTGGAATATACATGATTTATGGTTTAAATGAAAATAATAAATTATTTTTAAAAGTAAGTTTTGTTTTTCTGTTTTTAATTTTTTTCTGTTTGCAGATGCATTTGTGTATGTATGCTTATTTCCTGTTTTAGAAATAATGTACTTTGTATACTTTTTTAAAAGTTAATTTTTACTTTTAAACTTTGTCTTCCTCATTTATTATTTATTTCAGATCCATAAATGGACTAGGACAAATCTTAGAAACACAAAAATCAAGGTACTTTTTCAAAGCTATTTCTAATATTATACTAACAACAAATAATTTTGTTATTATTAATAAACATTAAGTAATTGATAAATATGCTTGATTTTAATGTAAGAAAGACATAAGTGTATTTTCAAAAGAATTGGATCCAGAATGTTGTTTCAAATGATCTCAATAAGTTAATTTGGCATATTTAGCTAGTACATATGGTACATATGCCTGTCTTTAAGATTACAAAGCCATGATAAACACTGTCTTACTGTGCTTTTGCTTAATGAGGAAGAAAAGACTTTCAAACACTTGAGAGGGTAACTCAGTACAGAAATCTGAAAAAGTATATTGAGAGATCTTATCTTAATTCAAAGTGTTTAAACGGCTTTAAAAAATTTTTAAAACCTTACATAGTTGCCAAAAAGTATGTCATGTAAAAACTCAGAGTCTTTACCTTGAAGTTCCTGACAAATTCTTTTATTAAATTTTGATACCCATTTTCTCTAGGTTCTGTTCCTAAAACATCTGTGAAGTGTATTTCTGTAGATTAAACTCTGTTTTCCATTGAGTACTAGCATAATTTCAGAAAATTTCTGTGCAGGGTATTTTGTTAAGCTCTTTTTTTTTTTTTTTTTTTTTTTTGATGAGAAAGGCTCAGCAGCTGATAGACCCAGCAACAGGCAGCCAGGAGCTCTGAGGCTCACAGCTGGCAGTCTAGTGCCACCCAGTTCCTACTTGAGAGACTCTTTCTTTGGAAGTACAGCAGAGGCCTTAGGTGAGTGGTTTGTCTGCTATGGCAGAGATTAGAGGTGCTGACAGACTGCCATAAGTGTTAGGCAATAACAGCAGCAGCTGCTTATATGCAAGCGAACAGCTGGGGAATTAATTTGGTATGCATTCTCAAGAGCCACTCATCTCTCTGCTGGCAGAGGTAGCAGAAGAATGCCCTTTAGTGTAAGTCCTCTACAACCATATACCAAAGGTGCTCCCTGCATTTCAAATTCCATAGTAGAAAGTCTCTGATAATCTCACTCATACCATGAACCATTCCTCAGTGTCTGTCCTCTTCCTGTTAGTGTTCTACAATTCCTTCCTCCTTAACTTTTCTCCTCTTTACAAAATGATACACAGACAACTGCATAATACTTAAACAAGCTTTTAAAAATCATGCCCATAAATAGCTGTGGTTCTGTCATAGCATTTATTCAGTTCATATTTGTAACATTTTGATTCAGTTTTCTTCTTTTGTTAGTTTCATTTTGGAAATATCCATGTCCTGAATAAAGGTGTCATCTTGATTAGTTTGTTAATGTAACAATTTAGTTTGTTTGACATTTCTAACTTTTATTAATTTATTTTTGTTGTTTGTTTTTTTGAGACGGAGTCTTGCTCTGTCACCAGGCTGGAGTGCAGTGGCATGATCTCGGCTCACTGCCACCTCCGCCTCCCGGGTTCAAGCCATCCTTCTGCCTCAGCCTCTTGAGTAGCTGGGACTATAGGCGCTCACCACCATGCCCAGCTAATTTTTTTGTGTTTTTAGTAGAGATGGGGTTTCACCATGTTGGCTAGGGTGGTCTCAATCTCTTGACCTTGTGATCCGCCTGCCTTGGCCTCCTAAGGTGCTGGGCTTACAGGCATGAGCTACCATGCCCAGCCTCCAACTTTTATTTCTAACATTTGCTTTATTATAGAACAATAAAAACATGCAGTGATTGATTTTTGTTACTTCCAGTGGATGAGTGAGCAAGTGACTAAAATCTTTCTTCTTCTATTTCTTCAGTGTATGGTGCTTGCCAGAGCATCTGAGAATCTAGGGACTTTCTGAAATAGTACTTCCTTGTTGTGAGGACTGAAGTTGGATTAGAATCCTTTTCAATGAAGATCAGGTGTCCTGAGTAGAATTCTTACTATTGGGTCCTGAATCTTATATTAAATATTCTCGCAAATTCCTTGAGGCATAGCATCTTGAGCTTACCAGTTTAGAAACTGGAGATTTGGTTAACAAAGTAATAAAAGTCACTCTTTTCTGTCAATTAATTTGCCAAACTGGCTGCTATGCATTTCATAGTATTTTAAGGACTATTTAAGCAATGGATAAGGCAAAAACTCTGCCTTTAAGGAAAGGCAGGGAAAACAGAGAAGCAAACAAGCAAAAAGGTAAAATATTAGATAGTAATATTACTGTAAGAATTTTAAAAGCACAGAGTTCTATAAGAATAGGAAAATAGAGGATAACTATTCAACTTTTCTTGATGAAGAGGGAGGAAAATACTGACCAAGAAGGCAGTCAGAAAATACTGACCAAGAAGGCAGTCATTGATCTGAGTCTTAAAGAATGAATAAGGCTTTTACAGATGGACTAGAGTAGGAACAACTTTCTAGGTGTAAGGAAGATTTTGTATTCCAGAGACCTGTGAATATTTTAGAATGGCTAGAAAACTTGGTATTATATAGCAGAGAAGAAGTGATATGACTGAAGAGATAGAGAACTTACCACAAAGGGTCTTGAATGCCGTGATACATAGCTTAGATTTTCTTCTGTAGGCAGCAAGGAATTAGTGGAGGATTTTATTATTAATCATATATTATTAATTAATAATAAGTTCACAATAATAAACTTACTATTGGCCAACTCTGTTTTGGTTTTCCTCTATTCAGTCTACTTACATTTCTAAAAACTAAGAAAAAGACAAGAGAAGATTAAAATGATACATCTTTTAATCTTTTACTCCTACTTCTGAAATCTATATGATTCACCAGAACTTCCGTTTGCTACTAAATCAGCTTGTCTTACCAATAAGGCAATGCTACACACTATTCCTTTTCCTTAATTACTACTCAAGGTGAGCCTCTTTTCTTCACATACTTATAGTAGTTTATTGTCAGCACTTGTCAGCCACACAGTGGTAAAATAATTAAAATTTAAAAAATAATAAAACAAAATTCTTCACTCATTTAAGGCATATGACTGGAAAACTTAATTTCCATGGCAATTTAATTTCCCCCTTTGGAGATAAAACCATCAGAAATCTACAATTTGCATTATAGATACTGGATACTTGTATTGGCTGGTGCACCCTATTTGTGAGACTCACTGGAGTTTGAAGAGCTGACTGTTAGAAAATACCCCTAGAGTAGCAGCTGCAATTCCAGTCCCACCTTGGAGAACCAAAACTCTCTTTGTTTTCACTCTCCTGTCCTTGATCTTAGGCTACTTAAAGCAGTCTTTAGACTTACGGAAAATTGAAAGCAATTTTTGTAGGAAAACATTAGGTTCAAGAAATTAGGAGAAAAAAACACTTTTGAAGCTTTATTTTTCCCCTTTTTGTTTACTTCATTCTCTTACTCCTTTTTAAAATGCTGGTAATGGTGTCTTTTTTTTCTTGGCTATTTTAATGCTTTGGAAATGATCTGATGGTTTTATCCTCAAAGGAGGAAATTAATTTGATGCCATGGAAATTAGTTTTCCAGTCATATCCCTTCAATGAAGAATTTCTTCTTCACGATGGTACTAAATTTGGGGAAAGCTATGGAAACTTTCATCTGGAAGCTTAGACTTTTTCTCTTTATTGAAAATTTGGTGAGAGACTTGGGTATTTTGTTATTTTCTGTAAAAGAGTGTAATTTGCTGTACAGATCTAATATTGATTCTTCTTTAGAAATACAGAAAGAATCTGGGTGTACAGCAGAATTACCTCTGGATGACTTGTTTTCTCAAGGACACTGTCACAGTGAAACAGTAGTTTATTTATAAGCTTGTGTTTCCAAACTACATTTGATATTTGCAAAATTGGCATGTGTAAACTTTATTAAACTTTAAGCTGTTTCCTAAGATGCAGATGACAAACTTGGCGGGGGGAACTTCATTCTTTTTTTTTTTTTTCTTTTTTCTTTTTTGAGACAGAATCTCACTTTGTCCCCAAGCTGGATTGCTGTGGTATGATCTCAGCTCACTGTAACCTCTGCCTTCTGGGTTCAAGCATTTCTCCTGCTTCAGCCTCCCAGTAGTTGGGATTACAGGTGTGCGCCACCATGCCCAGCTAATTTTTGTATTTTTAGTAGAGATGAGGTTTCACCATGTTGACCAGGCTGGTCTCAAACTCCTGGCCTCAAAGTGATCTGGCCACCTTGGCCTCCAAAGTGCTGGGATTTCAGGCATAAGCCACCATGCCCATCCAACTTCAGTCATTTGTGACCTGTCAATATAAATATGCTCAGTGGTGGTGGGGGTGGGAAGTGAAAAAGGAAATATGTTTAATATTAAGACTTCGACCTCTTAGTGTAAATTGATATTCAAAAATTTCTTCATGGAACATTTACTTCTTTACTTGATCATTTTTCTAATTCTGCACATATAAAATGCCCAGAATTTGAGTTGTTGTTACAGTCTATTAACAGGAACTTTGGAGTAATAAGATGGGAATTCGCATGCCTTTTGCCAAGACAAGCATTTGTAATCTAACACATTATTGTTGCCACAAGTATGAGTATGTGGTAGACTGTTGAGAATGAATAAAGCAGGCACAGTTGGTCAGTCCTAAGATAAAGGAGATGTTTTTTCTTACATATTATGCATTTAAAAAAAAAATTGAATCTGACCAATGAAATTGTTTTTCCTTGTAAGAAAATTTAACAAATGTTTGTCAAGCTCCTGGAATCTAATTTTGAAATGTAATTATACATTTGTCATTTTCTTCAAACATTCCTTTGCCTTAGGTTTGATTATGGAGAAATCACTGTCCTCTGCTGTTTTATGGGCTTATGTTAAAATTGTAATGCAATCACCAGTCTTTATAAATTTACTTTTATATATTTAACCAAACCTAATGCTAATTGTGATATGTTATTCGCACTTGATTTGAATCATTGCATTCCTAATAAGTTTAATTATTAAATAATTCTCAGAGAAATAATGTCTATTCGGATGGCAGGAATTTTTTTTCTACATACAGCCCCATTCTGAATGAATGAAATCAAATCACATGAATATCAGAGTCCTAGAGTAACTTAATATTTTATGCATTGGTCATTCAACTCCTCATATTTTTATATTGCATGTTACATCAAGGGAGGGGAAATAAAAGAAATACAAAAATTGCAGAGGTATTTGGAATGTACCCGTTTGTTAATTCTATTTGTCATTTGTTTCATCTTTTGAGTAATTAGCTGCTTCGAAAAGTTTCTGTTCTTTAGCTGATTTTTTTTTAAGCTATAAAAATGTATTTTAAAAGCTCAAATTTCAGGATTGTAAAGATAATGGAAATTTTAAACAAGCTAATTTATTGACATAAATAATTTTCAATTTGATTCAACTGTGATCATCTTATACCATTTGCCCACTTTTATGAATTTTATATATAAAATTTTTTGAGTCAGAGATTTGTTTCTTGATTGATTGGATATAATTCACAGAATTTCCAACTGCTCATATTAGTTTTCTTTCTTTTAGAGTTGATCTTTCTAATGTGTTAGATCTTCACGCCTTTGATAGTCTCTCTGGAATAAGGTATGTTTTGTATAATTTGGTTATTTTTATTGTTATGTACCTTTTTTTCCCATAGTTAACAGAAATGATTTGCGCAATTGCACCCTTGATTTAAGCTTCCTGCCATTCCTTTGGCATATAAGACCATTCTTAATGAGGTATGTTCTTGGAAGTTTTACTAAGTAAGTAATTGTTTGGAAATCATATTGCATTTTCCTATAGAAATTATAGTGTAAGTGATAGTTAACCTTAGAGACTAATCGTTAACACTTCTACACCAAACACTATGTGTAATACTCTTTCTATGAGAAGATACATGAAATACATAGACAATTTTAGTTTAGGGCTCTCACAGATAACTCTCTTTATGTTAATAATGGATTAGTTCTCTGCCTTCTCCTGTGGGGAATCTTTTTGGTGAGGGAAGGAAGAAAGATTATTCTCGTGCATCAATATCTTTTTATTTTTTTATTGTAGTAAGAATATTAACATGAGATCTATCCTCTTAACAGTTTTTTGAATGTACAGTACAGTATTGTTAACTATAGGCCTGAGGATGTGCGGCAGATCTCTGGGACATTTCAGTCTTGTATAACTGAGGCTTTATACCCATTGAATAGCAGCCTTCCATTTCCCTCTCCCCTTTGCCCCTGGGATCTACCATTCTACACTCTTTCTGTGGGATTGACTATTTTATTCTGACAAAAGTGGAATCATGCATTATTTGTCTTTCTGTGACTGGCTTATTTCATGTGGCGTAACATCATCAAGGTCCATCCATGTTTTTGCATATAACAAGGTTTCCTTTTTAAGGCTCAATAATATTCTGTTTTCTACATATACCACATTTACTTTATCCATTTGTCTTTTATTGCACATAACTTGTTCTTGCAGCTTGGCTATTGCAAATGATGCTGTAATGAATATCTCGTAAGTCGCATATATGTCCATACAAGATCATGAGAGTGGACATCTCTTTAGGTATTTTGAATTGGTGGGGCAGTTTTGCTTAAGGGTAGGCATGGTGGGTGGCTCTATACTTGAGACTTCTAATTCTCATTCCTATATATATGTCTTTTTTTTTTTTTTTTTTTTTTTTTTTTTTTTGAGATGGGTTCTCACTTGCTACCCAGGCTGGAGTGCAGCAGCACAAACATGGTTTACTGGACCCTTGACCTCCTGGGCTCAAGTGATCCTTCTGTCTCAGCCTCCCAAGTAGCTGGGACCACAGGCAGGTGTCACCATACCCCACTAATCTTTTAATATTTTTTGTAAGCATGGGGTCATATTATATTGCCCAGGCTGGTCTCGAATTCCTGGGCTCAAGTGATCCTCCTGCCTCAGCCTCCCAGAGTGCTGGGATTACATGTGTTGGCCACCACACCCAGCCTTATATGTATGTTTCTAATTTTGCCTTAGCCATGCCTTTAAAAACTAATTCTATTTTCAACTAGGTTTTTTTAACCTTCAGTATCAAGTATTGTTCACATTTCAAAAATAGTACTATAGTAACCTGTGAAGTAGGACATGATACTGTTTTATTGGATCGCTTTTACTTTATTATGTTTTTATTTTATTATTTTTTTTGAGATAGAGTCTTGCTCTGTTGCCCAAGCTGGAATGCAGTGGCATGATCTCGGCTCACTGCAGCCTCCGCCTCCCAGGTTCAAGCAATTCTCCTGCCTTAGCCTTCCAAGTAGCTGGGATTACAGGCATGTGCCACCATGCCCAGCTAATTTTTTATTTTTTTTATTTTTGTAGGAACGGGCCCGGCCACCCTTTTACTTTAGAGGTTGGAAAACTTATATTCGAATGTAGTTGTAAAAAAAAAAAAAAAAAAAGACCAGGCGTGGTGGCTTATGCCTATAATCCAGGCACTTTGGGAGGCTGAGGTGGGCGGATCCCAAGGCCAGGAGATCAAGACCATCTGGCCACATGGTGAAATGCTATCTCTACTAAAAATGCAAAAATTAGCTGAGTATGGTGGTGTATTCATGTAATCCCAGCTATTCAGGAGGCTGAAGCAGGAGAATGGATTTAACCTGGGAGGCAGAGGTTGCGGTGAACTGAGATAGTGCCACTGCACTCCAGCCTGGTGACAGGGTGAGACTCCATCTCAGAAAAAAAAAATTGACTGAGATTATTTCAGCAACCAGAAGTGTGGGTTAGGCAGGGCAGTTATTTCCTACTTCTCAGTTTGGAAACTGAAGCTCAGAGAGTAAACTTGTCAGTGACAGTGATTCAAGAAGTTGTCTTCAGTTGAGAGGTATTTATTTCACCTGTAGCTTCTGGTGTTAGAGCAGTATCTTTTTAGACTAGGCAAATTATAGTTAAAATTATAAAGGTATTTTCAGGCTACCTAGAAAAAAATCAGCATTTTGTTTTTCTAGTTCCAGTTATTAGGAAGGCAGTAAAGTTTGGTATACCTGAATTACATGTGAGTGATTTCTATTTTTCTAAAAATTCTTATAAATTATGTAAAGTAAAAATGACTACTTGTTGTTTCATGGTAAATATAGTTATATCCTTTCAAGCCACTCCTGGACAAAGTTGTGAAATCTCCCTGAGCCTTTTTCCTTTATGTCAGCTTCAGGTATCCAGTATCACTTACACTTGAGAATGATTATATGGAAATCATTCAGAATTATACTAAGTTTTTCCATATGAAGCTTTTGTTTTACTAATTTTTAAACTACTGTTTCTCCATTAAACTAATATAGCCCTAACCATAAATTTGGTTTGTTCATTTAAAAATGATCTTTCTTTTTTCTTCTTAGTTCTGGTTTTACTGGGGAGATAGATTGACTGGGGCTGTCACCTAATTCTGGGAGCTTAAGAGCCTTTGTCCTTTGCTACCCATTTCTGAAATAATCAGAAGTCTAGCCCATCCTAACTTTTCTCTTAATGATCCTTTTTTCTTTTACTCCAAGTCTCCAGCACTTCATTTGAGTATCTTCCATGTCTGGATTATAACTATGTTTTTTTATTTGATGCTGTGACAGTTTTGATAGTCACAGATACTGTGATAACGTTTAAATATGTTTACAAGGAGAAAAATGAAACAATACTGCATGAAATTTGCCTTTCTTTCTTTCTTTGTTTTTTTATGGGAGACAGGGTCTGGCTCTGTTGCCCGGACTAGAGTGCAGTGGTGTGATTTCAGCTCACTGTAGCCTCTACCTCCTGGGCTTAAGCTGTCTTCCTACCTCAGACTCCTGAGTAGCTGGGACTGCAGGCACGCACTACCACACCTGGCTAATTTTTTGTTGTGTGGATAATTTTTTCTTTTGGTAGCGATGGGGTTTTGCCATGTACCCCAGGCTGGTCTTAAATTCCTGTGCTCAAGTGATCTGCCTACCTCAGCCTCCCAAAGTAATGGGATTACCAGCGTGAGCTACCACACTTACCACACTTAGCCCTTTATTTTTTTATATTTATTTAATTATTTTATTTTGTTGACGTAGAGTCTCAGAGTCTCACTCTGACAGCTGGGTTGGAGTGCAGTAGTGCTATCGTGGCTCTCTGCAGTCCTGAACTCCTGGACTCAAGTGATCTTCCCATCTCAGACTCCTGACTATCTGGGACTACAGGGTTGCACCACCATGCCTGGCTAATTTTTTATTTTTATTTTTGTGGAGACAAGGTCTTGCTATGTTGCTCAGGCTTGTCTCGAACTCGTGGCCTCAAGTGATCCTTCTATTTAGCCTCTCAAAGTGCTGGAATTACAAGCCTGAGCCACTGAACCCAGCAAAATTTGCCTTTTTAAAACTAATTTATCTCTGTTGGGTCCAAGAGCTTGCAAGTTGGTTGTCATTTAATATGTTAAACACTAAAATATTTTTTAGTTGAAATCTTTATTTTTTCCCTTCACATATTGTATCCTTTAGTGCTTTATTCCAAGAATAAGAATTATAGTAAGAAATCATTTCCCACCTTGATATTCAGTATATCAATTTTTGTTTTCCTTTCTTCTTCTGTCTTTTGCTGTAATTTGCTGTAATACAAGTACTTTCATCAAGGCATCCAGTTTTTTATGTAATTCTATATTTTTACTTGGGAGAAATAGGAATGTTCCTAGTTCTATCTTACTGTCAATACCTAAATTATTGTTTTTTATAGAACATAATGGTTTATACACAAAATACACTAAACTGTGTGAGATTTTTACACTTTATGCGTGCAGAGGCAAAAATCGTTATAAGATTACAACTTAATATGCAAAATGAGGATTTCAGATTCATGAGTTTCAGGTTTTGGTAGCATATGCTTGTCCACTAGATTAGTCTTTTAAAAATTTGTATGATAGGGAAAAAATCTAGGACATGAATTCTGAGACTTACTAGGAACTAAACTTAAATGTTCGTTGTTAGATTTTTGGTTTTTTTTGCTGCATATGAAGTTTTAGGCAGTCATTGTCCAACAACATATGGTAAAAGCATATGATTTTTCAAAATTATTTTCTAAAGTTATCTCATTCTACACTTAAGAGCAGTTATAATGCTTTAGTGACACTTGAAGTAGCTGTTTAATGTGATCTCACCACCATACAGAAGGCCTTTGCATGACTTTTTGTGTGTGTGCTTAGCTGCTAACCAAGAGAATCTTTTCCTGAGCAACCAGCTGGGAAGGATTTAATTTGACATTCTCCCTGCTAAGACCCCCCAAAGAGACTCATTCCCTCCAACAGTTCCTACAGGCTCTTTCTCTTTCCTAAACTTGCTGTTACTAATTTACCCCTCACTGTTCTTCAAGGCAAAACATCTGCAGGGTTTTAAGTCCTTTCCCCCTCCCATCCTGTCCTCATCAGTGTTGAAATGTGCTACAGTTGTTATGGTTGTAATTTGTTATGCCATATTGATCTTGTGCTTTTCATATCAGAACAATGCATTTTTAACATTCTGACTTTTTCTCTCAATTGCTGACTATATATAAAATTTATATTTATGGATACTATTTGTTTTTTAATAAGTTCAAGGAAAAACATTGATAAAGGAAAATTTATTCTCCTAACTTTCTTTAGGTGCCAGCATTATTTTCACATTAGGAAGCAGGAGAAAATTAAGGAACTTTGAGCAATACTAGAATGGTTTTATATATATATGTATATAAGATTGTATTAAACCTGATGGAATGGTAAAGAAATTTATTGACATATTTAACCACACAAACTAGTGTTGTTAAAAGATTAGTTTTTCTTTTTGTTGTGTGCATATGTATGTTTGTGAATGTGGGTTTTTTCTTTTAAAGAAATTTGTTAAAAACTTTATTTGCCAGCTTTTTTCTGTTGGAATTTGTGAACATTGTATAAAATTGGAATTATAGAATAGTTATGGAAAGTCACTTCATTATCCTTGTGCACTAAATAATGTATAAAGTTAAATCAGAAGTGTATTGATCTCTGAATTTCTAATCAGTTGTTTTTAGTTTGCAGAAAAAACTTCAGCATGTGCCAGGAACACAACCTCACCTTGATCAGGTAAAAAAAAAAAAAAAAAAAAAAAATTCAAATCCAAAATTCCTAAAGAATGTTTTTAAAGGACCTCTTTAACTAAACTGGCTGTATTTAGGACTATTTTATTATAAACTTTTTCTAAAATGGTATTTTTGAACCGTGTTGATAATTTTTGGAATCTTAAATGCTTTTGATATAGTCTAATCCTACTTCTTAACACATGGTAGGAATTCATCAAACCAGATTCGTTTAGAATCTGAGGAAATCATGCTTTCTAGCCTTTCCATTCTGTAGATTAATTAGCATATTGATTAGTTCTGATAGAGATTAGAGATTACTCTTCAAAGTAGCCTGGGCATTCTATAGATAGTCTATTTTTAAGTATGTTGAATTGATTAAGGAAAAGTCTGATATAAGCATGGCTTATTTAAGTAAAAATTGAATTTCACCTTCAGGTAGCACTATAAATGTGAATTCCTTAAGATGTTTTTCTTGCTCTAAAATTCTAATCCCTCAGGTAAATATCTAAGATGCTACGAACAAATTAAATACACTTTTACTGTATCTGCATTTCTGTTAAGCATATCATAGATCATAGAGCTTTAGGATAACTTCTTTGTTCCACTTAAAACCCTGAGGGGTGGAGTGGGGGATGTGTAAGTGAGCAATGTGCCTAGTCTTCCCTCATCAGTCTTGAAGTGGTCACTCAGCTTTTGAATTACTATTGGTTGTAATATGGCCAAGATAACAGCAGCTACTTGCATTTGTATTCATTTTGGTTCATAATTTATGAGCAGGTTTACTACTATGTTTGTGGTACCTTTCCCTGTGAAACTTTTGTTAATAAGATATTTCCTCTTCACTTATCTTTAAAATGAATAAATGAGAGACATACAAGTCCTTGGAAATAGTTTATGGCAAAAAAAAAAAGTTCTTTATGATAGTTGATATCTGTCATAAAGATGAATGTGAAGCACATTTGAGCTTCTGGGTGAAGAATATGATGCCAAAAATCATAGGGATTAAAAGATGAAGAAAATGTAGTACTCACTTACAATGAACATTTGTAGTGGCCAGTGTCTGTACCCATAGAATCTTGAATAAACCCCTATTGTGGCAGTCATGATGCCTTGCAGTTTGGTTGAATTGCTTTTGCCTTGCATTAGTCTATAAATTTCTTAAATATAAAATCTTTATAGCTTAGTACAGAGCTTGGTGGTTGCTCAGTGAATATTTGTTAAAAAAATGAAAAGCCGTGTTTCTCAAATGGGGTATAAGTCAGAATCCTATGTGGAGATTTAAAAAAAAAAAAATTAGATAACTCATTAGTTCTTACCCCTCAATCTCCAGGATTGGGGCTTGGGTATGTGTATATTAATGTATGTTTTTAACATTTTATTATGCAAGATTTCAAATATATAAAAAAGTAAACAGAATAGTAAGGTAAAACACCTTGTATGAATCACCCAGTTTAAATGGCATCAACATTTAGCTAATTTTATTTCACCTATCCTCCCATATCTTTTGCCTGGAGTATTTAAAAGAAAATGTGTTTCTTTTTCTTTCTTTTTTTCTTCTTTTTTTTTAAATTTTTATTTCTTATAGAGATGGGGGTTTCACCTTGTTGGCCAGGCTGGTCTTGAACTCCTGACCTTGTGATCTGCCCACCTTGGTCTCCCAAAGTGCTGGGATTACAGGTGTGAGCCACTGTGCCTGGCCAAAAAAACGTTTTTTTTAATAGGAAATTTCAAACATGCATAAAAGTAGAATAGTATAATGAGCCTGTATGTACCTATTGCTCTTGTTGGAGTGTATTAAAGCAAATTCCAGACATTATGTCATTTTACTACTAAATAGGGCATGGCTATATTTTTGTAGCCTCTATAGGAGATTCTTGTGCACTTTCCTGCTTTAGATAATATAAACATAGGGACAATAGTTTTAGGGCTATGGGATTCAGAGGCATGAACTCTTTTGGTTCAGTGGATCAGAGGTGTAGGGGAGGAAATTGATCTTTTCCTTGCCCATCACTAGATTCATAGCTGAGGTCTCTCTAACAGAAGACCAACTAACAAGAGAATAACATACAAATTTATTTAGTAAGTTTTACTTGATACAGGAGCCTTCATAAGGAAAGGAAGACCTGAAATAGTGTATGTTTCATGCTAGGTATGATATGGAAAAGGATAGTCATGGAGAAGCATAACTGGATAAAACAGTATGATCTAATAGTAATAAACTGGGAAGAACTTAGCAAGGTCTGTTTGCTCAGATTTTTCTCTGTGATGCTTCATATTCAGAGATAAGGATGTCCTTTTCCTCTGTGTATAGAGAGGGCACCTCTTGAATGAGGGTCTTATGACCCTCAGGGGAAGGTCAGAAAAATCTAGGTTTTATGACCTGCTTCAGGAGAAAAGGTGAGAGCAGCCTTCCTGGTTCTTCCATTTTCTCAAATACTGAGGTGCCATATTTTGGGATAGTACATGAACCCAATCAAAGGTTTCAGGAAAGATAGTTTTTTTGTTTGATTTTGCATACAGTAAAGAATGCAAATGTATGATTTTAGTGTACAATTCAATTTTTTTTCTTTTTGTCTCTCTCTCTTGCCCAGGCTGGAGTGCAGTGGTGCGATCTCGGCTCACTGCAACTGCCTCCTTCTGCATTCAAGCAATTCTCATGCCTCAGCCTCTTGAGTAGCTGGGATTACAGGCATGCACCACCACACCTGGCTAATTTTTGTAGATATATATTTTTTAAGTAGAGATGGGTTTTCACCATTTTGGCCAGGCTGGTCTCAAACTCCTGACCTCAGATGATCCACCCACTTCGGCCTCCCAAAGTGCTGGGATTATAGGTGTGAGCCACTGTGCCCTGCCTCAATGTATTTTTACATATATTTATACCTACATATCTGTCTGTATGCACACTCAAACACATATCCTTCTAACCACCCACTTAGATCAAGATATAAAAGATATCTAAAATTGTAGAGTTCTCTTTTGCCCTTTCCCAGTCAAAGAAGGGGTAAGTGCTATTCTGACTTACATGACAAAAAATAGCCATGAACTGGTGGGATTTTTTTTTTTTTTTGACAAGAAGAAGTAAGGAAAAGAGCAATATGGATGTTTAAAAATGGGAAGTGAGAATCTTACCAATGAGTAGGTCCCTGGTACAGAAGTCTTAGTGGAGAGTTCATACTAGAATCCTGGTCCAAGCTATCAGGTTTTAATTTGCTAGACAAAGAAAACTCAAGCTGTGCTATCTAGGAGTGTTATGTAAGCTAGACTGGACTTCAGAGTCGGGAACCAAGCAGGAAGATACTGCGTGATGAGGGCCTGAAACATGCTGGTTACAGTGAGACTAGAAATGTGATAAACCCAGAGCTGTTTCACAGATAGACTTGCCTGAATATCCTGTCTGACGGAGGATGGATCAGAAAGAAAAGAAGTGGTGATGGGAAACAAGCCTAGATTGACTAGAGAAACCTAGAAATAGAAAAATCGGGAAGGCAAAGTGATTCAGATGATAATGCCATATATTCAGTTGTCCCTGGTGGCAGAATATTATAGTACAGATATTACATAGGCAAAGAAGAACAGAGGGCTAGAGTGTGAAGGTACAGATTTTGAGTTTAAGCATATTAGTGGGCTTAGTGTTCCAGCTGAAGAAAATGTGAAGCGGTTATTGCATGTTAGATATTGTTTGGGAAAGAATAGAAAACAGTGAAACCAGTGGGTTAAAGAAGAAACAGATTAAATAAACAAACCCAAGTAAGCTGTTACTAACTTTTATTTTAGAGACAATTCCTCATTTTGCTTTTAGTTTTCTGAATTATTGCCTCACTTTTCTGTTTCTTTCTGTGTCAGCATACATGGAAAAAGGAGTTCATTTTAGATTCAAAACAAAAACTGGAAAAAAAAAGTCTGAAATGGGTAATACCTAGGACATGGTATATATGTGTCATTAGGATTCTATCCCTGAATTTTTAATGCAGTTATCCATTTTTCATGGATTCTTTGTTTATTCCCCATTAGGAATACCTGGGTTTGGAAAGTGGGAAGGTGGATGAGAAAACCCACATGACAAATAGTGCTTACTTTATTTTAGAACCAAGTATGAGTTGTGACCCTTATCTTGTGCACTGGGAATTACAGATTTTTTCAGGATTTTTCTAACAATTTACATAACAGTTAACAATACTTTTGTCTCCCTCTAGCCCCTGGTAACCACTATTTTACTTTCTGATTTGATGAGTTTGACTATTTTAGATACCTGCTATAAGTAGATTCTTGCAGTATTTGTCCTTCTGTAACTGGTTTATTTTACTTAGTGTAATGTCCTCAAGATTCATCCATGTTGTAGCATATGACAGTATTTTTTTAAGGATACATTATATTTGGTTGTATGTATATTGCCACATTTATCCATTCAACTGTCTTGAACATTTAGGTGGTTGTTAGTGTCTTGATTATTGTGACAAAATAAGTACTTTTAAAAGTCTCACATTTTCAAGTTCGTTTTGACCCTTTTTTTAGTTGACTCATACTTCTCATGTCAAGCAAGAAAGCACTTTTCTGGTTTTCCTATTACTAGGAACAGTAGAGATTAAATGTCTCATATGTTTTTGGGAGTTCTAGAGCCCCACATATCACCTGTTCCTTCCCATACTACCATAACTGATGCTCTCTGGAGAGTGTCCCCTCCTGGCAGGAGGCCAACCAGCATAAAAATAGCACATTAAACCAGCAAAGCTAAGACCCCTCATAGAGTCCATTTCACCCTCCTACCACTGCTACTGGAACAGGTGCTGGTATCCTGGCTGAGAGACCCACAGATGGTTCACATCACATGACTGTGTGCATACTAACCCCCAGTACCAGCTCGGAGCCTGGTAGACTTGCTGGGTGGCTAGATCCAGAAGAGAGGTAACAATTACTACAGCTTAGCTCTCAGGAAGCCACATCCATAGGAAAAGAGGGAGAGTACTACAGTAAGGGAACACCCCATGGAACAAAATCTGAACA